CTTAGCAGGGGTGCCTTTTGGTGGCTCATAAACATTCGTCCGGGCTATCTTATTTTTCGACAAGGGAGAAAATGCTTTATTGAACCATATCAGCCTTATCGTTTTTCTCGGCAATTTGGCTATGATCAGCTCTATGTTGGGAACCCAAACCCTACTCTTGCATACACAGGTAATGTGTATGAAGGAGCAAGAGCTTGGTACTACTCAGTAGCTGGTTGTACCGGAGCAAAATTCCGACTACCACATAAGACGCCCAATGCTCGTACTTCTTTGAGCTTCTGTACATGGTACCAGGCCGCTTCTCAGATTTCAGCTTACCACATGAATACCTCCTGCTTAAGAGACATCCGCAAATGGTATGCTTCAAAGAAGAGTGCTAAGCGGTTCCGTGCCCGGGGTGCCAATGAATATTTGTCATATGAAAAGTCGATTACGGAGGGTGAACGGCAACAGTCACCAGAGCGAGCTCAGGAAGAGATCAGGATACCGGATACCCACAAGGTACAACCTTCAAGAGTTCTGACCCGGAGTCAGAGTGCTACGGGCAAAAGGGCGCTGGGGGCGGTCGAAGAAGCCAAGTATGACAAAAGAGCTCGTCGGAAGTTAACGCTTGAACCCCCTGCTTCCAAACTTATGTCGGACGCTCAGAAAGCATGGCGTTCTGAAGAAGAAGAACAAGAATCGACTGCTCTGGAACTCTCGCCTCAGCCTGGTCTCCCCACAGTTAGTCCTGCTTTAGGAGGCCATGATCCTTCTGCTCGTTCATTGCATGAAGAAGAGCATGGAGATGAATCTTTTGCAGGGGGTGCGGAGTTTGTCCCCGAAGGCACACTTCATGATACTGCCTCCACTACTTCTCACGTGGTAGAAGATATACCTCCTGTCCCCGAACCTATTGTGACTGCCCAGCAAGACCCAGCAACAGACAAGTCTCCTTCCACCTCTGTGTTATTACCAATTGTAGGCGATTCACAGCTTAGCCCTACCACTGGGATCATAGCAAAGCCTACAATCACCGAAGATGCATCAGCATTTTCTTCCGTAGGCGAGGATGAGCCCATGGATCATAGCGACGGCGATGATGATATGAATGATGAGGGTGACCAAGGTGGGGGTGATGATGATATGAATGATGATGGAGACCACGGTGGGGGTGATGAAGATGATGACAACTTGGGCGATGACAACGATGATCCCGAAGACTGGTATATCCTACCATCATCCTTTTCCAACAAAGCGTCAGCCTACATTCCCCTACCTCTCGCTGGTAAGTGCCGTTTGTTTCAGCTCCACTAATCTTTTCTCTGTATTTAAATAGATTTCTCATACAGATCCTATGATACATGAAGAGAGTACTGTCACCCCTCCTTCGACGCAACAGCTTATACCACCACCAGCTCAGGTGTCAAAGTCACCTCGTTTGGAGACCTCCACAACGACTTTACTGACAATTTCTCTAGCCTCTACCGAAGTGGTAG